TAAAGAAGAATGTTGATGGAGATGTGGAGAAATACAAGGCACGACTTGTGGCTAAAGGCTACAAGCAAAGGCAAGGCATTGACTATGAAGAAGTCTATGCACCTGTTGCCCGCATGGAGACGATACGTTTGCTGATCTGAAGATCTATCAACTAGATGTCAAGCCAGCTTTCTTGAATGGCTATCTTGAAGAAGAAGTCTATGTTGAACAACCATTGGGCATCGTGGTCAAAAACCATGAAGATAAAGTGTTGCAATTGAAGAAAGCTTTATATGGATTAAAGCAAGCCCCACGAGCATGGAATAGTTGCATCGACAAATATTTTCAAGACAATGGGTTTAATCGTTGTCTCTATGAATATGCTCTTTACCTTAAAGTTCATACTAATGGAGATATCTTACTTGTTTGTCTTTATGTTGATGACCTTATTTTCACGGGCAATAACTCAAGTTTGTTTGAAGCTTTTAAGAAAGATATGTCACGTGAGTTTGAGATGATAGACGTAGGGCTCATGTCATACTACCTGGGCCTAGAAGTGAAGAAGATGGAGGATGAAATTTTTATCTCTCAAGAAAGCTATACAAAAGAGATATTGAAGAAGTTCAACATGCTCGATTGCAACCCTGTGAACACACCGATGGAGAGTGGGACAAATTGTCCAAGTTTGATGAAGGAGAAAAGGTGGATCCCACATTTTTCAAAAGTCTTGTGAAGTTTGAGGTACTTGACTTGTACCAGGCCAGATATACTCTTTGCAGTTGGAGTAGTAAGTTGTTTCATGGAAGTTCCTACCTACACTCATTTGAAAGTCGCCAGAAGAATTCTTCGCTACCTAAAAGGTACGACTGACTTTGGGCTATTTTATTCCTCTTCTAGTGATTTTAACCTTATGGGATTTTGTGATAGTGATTATGCGGGAGATATTGATGATAGAAAAAGTACAACTGGTTTTTTATTTTTCTTGGGTGATTCTGTTATTTCTTGGAGTTCAAAGAAACAATCAATTGTTACTCTCTCGACTTGTAAAGCTGAATATATAGCAGCAACATCTTGTACCTGTCATGCTATTTGGCTAAGAAGATTATTGAAGGAGCTCAATTTACCACAAATTGAAGCTACAGAAATTTGCATTGATAACAAATCCGCACAGGCACTCTCGAAGAATCCAGTGTATCATGATCGAAGCAAGCATATTGATACAAGGTATCACTTCATCAGAGAATGCATTGCCCAGAAGGAAGTCGAGCTCAAGTATGTGAAGTCATATGATCAAGTTGCTGATATTTTTACGAAGCCTCTCAAATTTGAAGATTTTCAGAGGTTGAGATCAAGTCTTGGAATGAAAAAGAAAAATTAAAATTAAAGGGGAAATTTGTGGGGTCCCTGTTGAAATAATTAAAATAAGAAAGAAACAAGTTGCAATGACAACTTGTAAACGGCAGAAACAAAAAAGTTTTAAGTTGCAACAAGCAATTGTGGGCGGCAACAGCAAGTTGCAAAACCAATTTGCTAAAGTTGGTTTTCTGATGGATTTTGCAAATTGAATATATCAATGTTTTAATTGGTTAGAGCTGCGGTGACTTCTCCTATAAATAGAAGCGTTCAGCTTCATTTCAAGTACACCAAAAAAGAGAGTAATCTATAGATTGTAGCCTGTGAGATAAATAGTGAGTGAGAGTAATATTGTAGTGAGGTGTTTAAATAAAGAGTGTTATTTCTTTCGAAGTTGTAGTAGTCTCTTGACACTACTAAGTTATAATATTATAGTGGTAATATTGCTCCGCTGGGATATTGTACTTTACCCCGTTAAAATATTTGGTGTCGTTGTTACTCTCTTGTGTTATTATTATTTATAGTGGATATTATTCGTGGGCGGGATTATTTATTTTTATTCCCAACAGTTTAGTACATGATAAACTATTATTTTGTGGGAAATTTTGAAATCCTGACGCTCTCACAAATATAAAGGCATCAAACTTTACTCAAGAAGGGTGATCGATCAAGTCACTTACCTATCGACACTCATTTTGAATGCTCAATTCCCCTCTATCGATTTTCCTCCTACTATGCCATACATCTGTGAACTAGTTGGCAGACTCAAAGCAAAACTTGATATTAAGCTAGTCAGATGGACCAAACCTCCCCAAAACTGGTTAAAGCTTAATATTGATGACTATAATAAAGGTAATCCAGGAAGTGCAGGGGCATGAGGCATTCTTAGAGATAGCACTGGCCATATGATCATGGCATTTACAGCCTACTTATGGAATTGCGGTAATAACAATATGGCTGAAATACGTGCTTTCAAAATTGGGCTGGTGTCTTCAACATGGTTTCATTAACGTTGCTATTGAATTTGATTCAATTTTAATTATTCAAATGGTCAGTGGCAACATCACCACATTTTGGCAAATCATAGAAGAGATCTCTCAAGTGCAGACTATGGCCTCACAAGGTTTCTTTCAATTCGAGCATACTTCCAAAGAATCGGGGTTAATTTCATTGGTAGTCATCTAACTTATCAGTTATTTCACAAAAGTCACTTAACTATTTTTCATCACTTAAAAGTCACTCAACTTTATTTTTGTAACTTTAAAATCATTCTGATTCAAAACCTGTAAATATCCAATAAAAAATATGACATGGCATTACATTTAATTAAAAAATATAACAATAATGCCACATAAGCTTAAATAGACCATATCTAAGTTACACCTATTTCTTCCTCAGCACGATTTGACCTATAACCAAAATGAATTATTAATATTTGAACAATTAACTGGACTAGCACTTTGATTTTGTGGTTAATTTGTAGACAAAGAAGTATAAGAAATTTAAGAAAAATTAGGTCTTTTGAATTTATCTTTAGGTTTTGGTTGTACATTTACGGTCAATGGCACAATACATTGTCTCTTTCTTTTGTCCAAATTATCGCTATAGGTTGTCTACGATTGCCGTGTGTATTGACAATTTCTACTATGCAATTTTTTTGTGGGTGTTTCTTACTGAGCAGTATTTTTATCTGTTAATATTGCTTAATAAGCAATATATTGACTTTAATGAAATAATAGTCTGTAAAAGTAGGTTCTTATTAGCTTGTTGTTCTTGTCTGTTAGTGATACATTTAATTGTTATTGAAGATTGATCGGTAGTATTTTAACTTCATGAAAAATTATAAAATGATATGAAGGATGCAAAAACTGGTTCTGTGCTAGTTCTGTTCATATTTTTAATGAAATTATAGGTGGTGTATTAAGGTTATTACGTAACAAATAAAGTAAGATATTTTTAGCACAAAATAATTGTTCTCTTCTTTTCCTTCTAATTGTCAAAATATTAAAACCCATTGGGTTATGGGTCAAATCGAATTGTGGATGAAATGGGTCTAAATTGGGTGTGGTCCATCTAAGCTTATTTGGTAATATAATTAGACTTTTTTAATTAAATTTAATGCCATGTCATATTTTTATAGGATATTTTATAGGTTTTGAACTAAAATGACTTTTAAGTTACAAAGGTAAAGTTGAGTGACTTTTAAGTGATGAAAAATAATTAAGTTATTTTTGTGAAATAAATGATAAGTTGGATGACCATAAGTGAAATTAACCCAAAGAATCGATGGCAATTTGGTAGTAGATCAACTTGCTAACTTGGGGAAAAGCAGTAAACACAATATTTTCATCCTTGATATATATCACCTTGCCTAGACGGGTAAAATCCACAATGAAGAATGAAGCTAATGTATCTACTACATTCGGGATTAGAGTGAAGAAAGGTGTCTTCATTTTTTATCAAGGATGACTCTCTCTTTCTGTCACTACGTTCTTAATACTTCGTCAATTTTTTTTTTGGAAGCAAAACAGTAACAGGAGGAGTCCTCCCCATCGTAGCTTCTTTCTTCTGCTCTTTTTTTTTGTTTGTTTGTTTTTCCTTTGTTTTCTTCTGCAGATTAGTCCTATGAATATTTTGTATAAGAGGTTAGGCTTTTGTCCCCTTCTATGTAATCTTTTGACTTATCAATAGAATTAATACCCCTTTCTCTTGGGCTTTTGGCCAAAAGAAAAAAAAATAGTGTAGTTGATGTGTGTGTATATATATATATATATGACACCACTGGAAATTAAGCATCAATTGCTCCTTGCGACAAATGTTCTGAATAATTGGTGTGGCATTAAACCAATTAACGATGTGCACAAAATGGTGATGCAAATTACTCTTATGCCGGCAAATTTGAAAAGGGGCCAGTTCATGTAAATCTGAAGGAGAATTGAGGATCCTTAAAACAGCCTTGAAATCGTCATTCCCTAGATGTGATATGGATCAACCCTGGTGCAATATATGTGAAATGGTAGAAAAACTGAGTGCTTATTTTTCGTTTCTGCTTTCTGTGTATGTCTATAGGGATTGGAACTACACAGCTTTTGTATGAGGTCAGGCCAAGCCCCTCTCTTGTCTCGTACTATTTTGATATAATGCAATCCAGCTTATAACTCGGAACCTTATTTAAAAAGAAGAAGAAGATATATATCACATCTTTTTAAGGGGAGAAAACCACTAATTAGTATTCCCTCCGTTTAAAAAAATTGTCTTAGACTTTTGAGATATGTGGTCTTAAATAAGTAATCGCATTTGTGTGACGTAAAACTTTTGAAACTTGTAGTCTCAAATCCGTCATAGCATTTATGTGGCTATAAATATTTCCTATTAAGGAAATATTGAAATGTGCCAATCTTTTTGGAACATAATAGGAAGTAAATTGTGCCAATCTTTTTGAAACAATGGAATAAACTAAAATGGGGAAATAGCAACAACAAAAAACCCCTTTGCAAACACCTTTTGACTAATATTCACCAAAATGGGAAAATAGTATATAGTGCTGAATATGGAAAACCAAACAACACCTTTTATTTAACTGCATGTAAACACTCTCTGTCTGTAATGACGATTATTAATTACTAGTAATATAATATAATATCTCTCTTTGACAACCCCCAAAAAAAAAAGAAGAAAGAACTGCATGTAATTAAACACCTATACGTACGTGATCAGTCATAGTTCTAAAGCTAGTTTTATATCCAAATAGCATTAGCCTTAATGAGCAAATCCTTCAACTTGCCCTTGACATTCAGACTCATTACTTCATCAGAACCACCAACAAACTCCTTCCCAATAAATATAGCTGGTGTGCTCGGATTGCAACCCATTTCAATCAAAGCTTTCTCCATTTTCTTCCCTTTTGGAATTTCATCAAGCTTATACACCGTTGGATTCGCCCCGAAATTACGAATTAGGGTTTCAATACTGTGTGACATGCAACAATTGCTCTTGCTGAATATCACCACAGGACTCTCTTCTCCTAATCTATTCACTGCATCCATCTTTTTAGTTTATAAAGCAAAAAAGAGACAACTTTAATAAAATACAACTAAAGTTTAGAACTTTTGGAAGTAATTTAAGGCTTTAGCAATATGAGGAGACCTGAACTTCCATGAAGTTATATAATAGTCTTGAACATGAAAAGTAAGGGGTATCTAAATTATTCTTGAGATTATAAAGGCATATTGACTTGTTTTGTATATCTGATAAGAGAGGGAGATTTTTTTATCTTTAAAATATTCCTCAAAGACTTGTAGCTTTAAGTGTGCTAATAGACCTTGCAAGAACCAAATAACTATGTATTATTGTAGCATAATATTTTGTTGGGTGCGCGTAAACGATCTACATAGAAAATGGATAAGAAAGAAACTACATATGAGGTGTAGGATACTTTTAAACGATCTACATTGAGAGTGGCTAAATTGAGGTGCTTTATCCTCGTAATACTAATTCCCATATAAGTTATTGCATGTAAGATTTGGTATAAAATAACTTTTTTTTTTGTTTTTCACATTGGAGCCCGACTATATCCGAATACGCCCGCGTAGTACCCCATTCGAGGGGAAGTGCTCCCTACCAAGGATTTTTCCATACCCAAGGCTCGAACCCGAGACTTCCGTTTAAAGGAAGAGTAGTGACATCCACTGCACCACATCCTTTGATGGTGGTATAAAATAATCATATCAGAATTGTCGTATTAAATTGCTTATACCAAAATTAAGCCAAAGGCCAAATACACATAATAATACTCTCTCCGTTCCATTTATGTGGCAGTGTTTGACTATGTATGGGGTTTAATAAAAAAAGGAAGAATTTTAAAATTTGTGGTATAAAACAAGCCATAGAAATTTGTGTGACTCTAAATCATCTCATTAAAGGTAATTAAATTGAGAAGTTAAAAGTTACTTTATTTTTAAGTACAAATCTATTCTCCAACAGCAACTTAAGAAATTGTGTCAGGAGTAACATTAGAATCAGAAGGTACCTGTTCAGTTTCTGAAGAACCACTTTCTTCCCCCTCAGTAGCTTACTTAAATGAATCTTCACATTTCTCGGATTCTTCTTCCCTACCCGCTTTCAATTTTATTTTCTTGATCTGCTCTCCTTCAGCGACAATTTACGAGCCATCATGTGTGGTTGAAGGAGTGGTAGAAGGTGTGGAAGTGGTTTCCTGTGGTGGTGATGAAGGATTTTCAGAGGTGTTCGACATATCTGGGCTAGGGTATGGAAGAGAAGAGAATTAGATTGTGTTTGGAAGATGAAAGAGGAATGAGAGTTTTTGACGGCTTGAGAGAGATGAAGTAAGGAATACACTAAAGCTGATCAATATACAGAGGAATAATTGATGCGGTAACTACAGCTTTTCAGACTCTTAGAAGTCTAATCAAAATGAAATTCATTTTTGAAGAGATGTTGGAGTGTATCCCTAGAATCTAGGTACTTCAATTCGGTTGGGATTCTTTTGAACGGAACTGGTTCACTTGTAACGGATAAGTCCAAAAGGAGTTTGGAATTAGGTAGGACTGTGCTCATGATCAAATATAATTATTTCAAATTATGCAGTGTGTAGAAAACATACCTATTTATCTTAACGAAGCAGGTTCTTCACAGAAAATTCTCTTGTGTAAGTCTAAATTTTCCAAAATAGAGAAAATATCATTAGAGATTAATGAGTCATTATAGAGCAAACAGTTAGAGCAAAAATAATGAATTTCATTGATGATTGATAAGATTCTACCACAAAGCATAAGAAGAAATAAAAATACTGAATGAGCAAAAGAAACAAAACGCCTCGAACTGGGTCATTGGTTGATCTACACTAGGCTAGGAAGATTAAGGCTGGGAAGAACTAGGTGATTGGTTTTGACTTGGAGGAGTTTCAGCATACTTTGAAGAATGCCATCATTCTTCTCTTGCCAGCTCAGTTCTTAGAGCATCTCTCTCAGTCTCCACCTCAACCAACCTTTTTTTCACCCTTTCAATTTCAGCATCCTTAGCCCCACTTTCTTGCAACAAGGCTCAGACCTTTCTATTCACTGGTACCTTCTTGGATGAACCAGTTTCTTTAGGAGTGGCATTGACTTCATAATCGCAAGCAAGCAGAGCGTTAACCCCAAAATGATCCTTGCTTGTACTAATCTCCCACTTCTTCATAGGTACCTTGAAATATGCAAGTACATTGTGAGAATGAATCCATAGAGAATGGCATGAGTTTTGGTGCCATTGATAACCCTATCAGTAGGTCCGCGAGGGTTTCCTGTTCAGATGAAACATGTTCATCTATATTTTTCCCAAGTTGAACCAACCCCTCAGCAGCTTCGCAAGACCTACTTTCCCCTGTTTTGCTCACACTCTCTTCTATTTCAGTAAATTCCTCTCCCCAAACAACCATTGTACCGGTTTCTTTTGTTAGACCAACATGAGCGGGTGAAGAATCAACCACTCTTTTACCCTTTCCCCTCACAGCACTCCTAGCACCCTTGCTGTCTTTTTCTTTTCCCTTTTTTTATTTTCTATTTTAACACCAACTTCTCCAGATTCTGTAGTCTCAATACCTACAATAGATCCTACCAGTACAAATCTATTCTCCAACAACAACTTAAGAAATTGTGTCAGGAGTAACTTTAGAATCAGAAGATACCTGTTCGGTTTCGGAAGAACCACTTTCTTCCCCCTCAGCAGCGTACTTAAATGAATCTTCACATTTCTGGGATTCTTCTTCCCTACCTGCTTTCAATTTTATTTTCTTGATCTGCTCTCCTTCAGCGACAATCATACGAGCCATCATCTTTACTCTATTTTTCTTAGAGATTTGTGTGGTTGAAGGAGTGGTAGAAGGTGTGGAAGTGGTTTCCTGTGGTGGTGATGAAGGATTTTCAAAGGTGTTCGACATATCTGGGCTAGAGTATGGAAGAGAAGAGAATTAGATTGTTTTGGAAGATGAAAGAGGAATGAGAGTTTTTGACGGCTTGAAAGAGATGAAGTAAGGAATACACTAAAGCTGATCAATATACATAGGAATAACTGATGCGGTAACTACAACTTTTCAGACTCTTAGAAGTCTAATCAAAATGAAATTCAGTTTTGAAGAGACGTTGGTGTGTATCCCTAGAATCTAGGTACTTCAATTCGGTTGAGATTCTTTTGAACGGAACTGGTTCACTTGTAACGGATAAGTTCAAAAGGAGTTTGGAATTAGGTAGGACTGTGCTCATGATCCAAATATAATTATTTCAAATTATGCAGAGTGTAGAAAACATACCTATTTATCTTGATGAACCAGGTTCTTCAATGAAAATTCTCTTGTGTAAGTCTAAATTTGCCAAAACAGAGAAAATATCATTAGAGATTAATGAGTCATTTTAGAGCAAACAGTTAGAGCAAAAATAATGAATTTCATTGATGATTGATAACATTCTACCACAAAGCATAAGAAGAAATAAAAATACTGAAAACATGAGCAAAAGAAACAAAACGTCCCGAACTGGGTCATTGGTTGATCTACACTAGGCTAGGAAGATTGAGGCTGGGAAGAACTAGGTGATTGGTTTTGACTTGGAGGAGTTTAAGCACACTTTGAAGAATGCCATCATTCTTCTCTTTTTCTCTTGCCAGCTCAGTTCTGAGAGCATCTCTCTCAGTCTCCACCTCAACCAACCTCTTCTTCACCCTTTCAATCTCAGCATCCTTAGCCCTACTTTCTTGCAACAAGGCTCAGACCTTGCTATTCATTAGTACCTTCTTGGATGAACCAGTTTCTTTAAGAGTGGCATTGACTTCATAATCGCAAGCAAGCAGAGCGTTAACCCCAAAATGATCCTTGCTTGTACTAATCTCCCACTTTTTCATAGGTACCTTGAAATATGCAAGTACAGTTGTGAGAATGAAGTCATAGGGAATGGCATGAGTTTTGGTGCCATTGATAACCCTATCAGTAGGTCCACGAGGGTTTCCTGTTCAGATGAAACATGTTCATCTATATTTTTCCCAAGTTGAACCAACCCCTCAGCAGCTTCGCAAGACCCACTTCCCCCTGCTTTGCTCAGACTCTCTTCTATTTCCGTAAATTCCTCTCCCCAAACAACCATTGCACCAGTTTCTTTTGTTAGACCAACAGGAGTAGGTGAAGAATCAACCACTCTTTTACCCTTTCCCCTCACTGCACTCCTAGCACCCTTGCTCTCTTTTTCTTTTCCCTTCTTTTTTATTTTTTATTTTACCACCAACTTCTCCAGATTATGTAGTCTCAGTACCTACTATAGATCCTACCAGTACAAATCTATTCTCCAAATTTGTAGCAACTTAAGAAATTGTCTCAGGAGTAACTTTAGAATCAGAAGATACCTGTTCAGTTTCGGAAGAACCACATTTTTCCCCCTCAGTAGCACACTTAAATGAATCTTCCATTTCTCGCGGTCCACTATGAAGCCACCGCGGCCGCGGTCCATTTATTGCGGTTCGCGGTGGCTGGATTCAGAGAACAAAAAATTGAAGCTAAAAGCCCCGTCGCAGCCGCGCTCCATTTCTTGCGGACCGCGATACCTCCGTCAGGGGTATTTTTGTCCAGAAAATTCGGCCTTGTGTAAATACTTCTTTTTCAGATTTTTAGGGTATCTTTATCTTAGTTGAGCACGTGAAGGCCGTTTTGGACCTATTTTGAGTAATTTTGTAGCTAGTTCAACATTGAATCTTTAAATCTTAGCATGTAATTATATTATATGGGTTATTCTTCATCTAAATACCTGATTTCTTTTATTATTATGAATAGCTAGACCCATTAGCTAGGGTTGTGGCTCAACCCTAGTATGGGTATTTGATGGGTCTTTTGTTTTAAGGCTTAGATGTTTATGGGTGGTTGATATTTGGACTTATTTTTGTTTTCCGTGTTGAATTAGTGGTTGCAAACACTAATTTATGCCTTTTTGATTTGGGCTCTTCTTGAGAAAGAGAGTTTGAGACTAGGAAAATCAGTTCAACAAGGAATTGGGGCGTATTCAAGAGATTGATAAGCCCAATTAAAGGGTTAAATCTAGAGATAGTAATACCCGACTTGACCCTATATTGCTTGCACAATTTTGACACCCAATTGGTCTTGAGAAAGTCAATTAGGGCAAAGTCACTCAAGCTACCGAGAGATATAGAGGGAGTAGTGTCGTGCATTGGCTATATCGCGATCCCAAACATAACAACTTTGCCTTAGGCTTTAGAACCCGTCAAGTATTCACCTAGGAGAAAGTCACTTCCCTAGTGCCTTGTTAACCATTTAGAAAACCTTACAAGCATTTATACTTAGCTTAATTTCGCACATCATTAGTATAAAATTAGAAGTAACAAACAAACAATTATGAATGGAAGTGTAATCAAGAAAACTACACACTGCTAGTTTAGATAGGAATCCAAATCCCAAACATTCTAGCTCCCTGTGGATTCGATCCCGACCTTTTCGGGTTAAAACTGCATCGACCGCTCTTGCCACTTTGTAGTGGTGTAGGGTTGGACCCTATCATTGGTATGTTCGTACGGGGTGCCGAGGGGCTCGGGTGAGTTTCAGATATGTTTGGGCTGTGTTGCGCTCATTTTTCTTATGTTTCGACATCGTTTCTTCAAGCATAAATGGTACCACATTAAGAAAATGAGCTCCAATTTCTATTTTTATTGAAGCATTCGATATGTATTGTACTTACCGAGGCATAGCAAAAAGAATTCTCAAATTTGGACATCGTATGAGGATTTTATGGTCATTTTACTAAGAATTGGGTTGCTAGATTTTTTCAGATTAATTACGAAATTGTCACTGCTTGGTGTTTATAAATCTGCACTATTTCCAAATATAGAAACCAACATATCTCCTTAATTATAAGGTCAAATGGAGTGATCCAAAAGCTTATATTGACTGAAATTTCACAAGGAATCCATTGGAGGCATCAAAAGCAAGTTAGGGGGATCATTTGGCATGCAAAACGAGGCAGAACAGCTGGGCAAAATTACTTAATATGGAAGGTTTGTTCATTTGGTCATATTTCGAGTTGGGGAGCTCGGACTTGGATAATTTTTGGAGGCAATTTTCACCATATTAATTGGGGTAAGTGTTCTATACTTCACTTTGGTTATATTTCATAAATCCATCTTCATTTTTGGCATTTGATTTATGATTTCAAAGTGAAATTTCAGGGTTTTGTCTAAAATTTTATAAATTGAATTTTGGAGTTTTGCACACCGATCTGGAGTCGGATTTGAGTGAAACTAGTATGATTGGACTCGTAATTGAATGGATTATCAGATTTCAAAAATTTTATCAGGTTCCGAGGTGCGGGCCCATGTTGGGCTTTTTGGTCGATTTTGGGCTTCTGATTAAAGATTCGACCTTTTTCGATTGGGATTGGTTCTTTTAGCATTGTTCGATGTATTTGATTTGTCTTTTTGTTAGTTTAGAGCCGTTCGGACGTCGCAACGCGCATGATGGCATTTTTAGAGCATCGCTTGGCTTGCTCGGTAGTGGAATCGACTTGTTCAAGATAAGTAACTCTTCTAAACTTAGTACTAAGGGTATGAAACCCCAAATTATGTGTTGTGTGATTGGTGTTGAGGTGACGCACATGCTAGGTGACGGGCGTGTGGGCGTGCACCCTGTGAGTTGTGACTCCATTATTTTTCCTGGCACTGTTTAGTGGCCCTAGTTTGTTGATGTTTGTGTTTTTACCATATGATTAATTAATTGAGCTGTCAATCATGCTAGATATCATGTTTAGGCTTTATGCTGATATTGTTAGGACCCATAGTGGTTGTTTCTTGCTGTCACCTCACTGATTTTATTGATATTTCGTACTCACTCATATTCATGCATTCATATCATATCTCAGTCTCAGTTGTTATTTATTGATACATCATATCATTATTATCCGGCTAGTTTCATGACATTGAGAGCTCGAGAGACTGGAGAGATTGATGACTGAGTGAGGCAGAGGGCCTGATTGTGAGAATATTTATGGGATCGGGCTGCACGCCGCAGTATGTTTTATTAATTTATGCCATGATTTACCTGATATAGCGCTTGGGCCTCCGGAGTATGCACACCCCCAGTGAGTACAGGTACCTACTGAGTACGAGTGCCGAGTGCCGAGTGATTGGGAGGATTGAGTGACTGTGAGGACTGAGTGGCTGTGAGGACTCAATGGCTGTGTGGACTGAGTGACTGTGAGGATTGAGTGACTGGGAGGACTGAGTGAATTGATATGAGAGTTTGCACGTGGTTTTATTACTGAGTCGCATCGTATTTGACATGCACATGGCATACAGGCATAGAGATGCATTTTCCTCATGTTGTACGGTATCATGTCATTCATGACTTGTTTAACACACATTGATATGTGGGCATAGAGAGGTATTTCACACATGCTATCTGGAAAGAAAATGAAACATCATATTTACTGTTGAAAGGATTTTTGGAAAAACTCATAGTTTTCAAACTTACTCGTATTTTCGACGATTTTCGTAAAAGAGTTGGGCTTTACTGATATACTTAAAAGGCGAAAATATTTTTGGAAAAACTATGAAAAAGCTGAACATTTTATCTTTGAGTTACTTCTTTATTTAATTGTCATATGTTGTTATGAACTGATATTGGCTATTGATGTTGGACCCGACCTTTGTTTAAGCTCGTCACTACTTTTAACCTACGGTTAGGTTTGTTACTTATTGAGTACATGGGGTCGGTTGTACTCATACTACACTTTCTTCACATGGCGTGCAGATTCCGGATGTCGATGTTGCTGTGTTTGATGGTTGCTAGATTAGAAGATGTACCTGCGTTCCAGTTGTAGCTGCCTCTTGTTCATGGTAGCCGTAGATTATAAAACTCTGTTTATGTACTTTTCAAACAGAAGATGTATTTACTTCATATCAGCTTTGTAAACTCTATTCTTAGAAGCTCATGATTTGTACTACCAGTCCTTGGGGAAAAGTAATAGATCCAGATAATTTATTTTGTTTAATTGACTTGTCAACATTATTGGAATTGGATAGTTATTAGTTGGTTTACCTAGCAGATTGGATTAGCTGCCATCACGACTAGTGGATTTTGGGTCGTGACATGAAAAATAAAGTAGAAAGGTGAAATAAATAAGGAAGAATGGTGAAAAAAATGAGGAAGAAAGCCGGATATAAAGGAAATACGGAGAAAAATAAATAAATAAATTTGAAAGAGGGTTAGACTAATTAGCCATTATATTCTGCCAGACGGGCCATTTTGATGGCTTTTTTCAGCTATCACGCGCTCTCAAGTGAGTTATTACACATATTATGCCATGTAAGCAATGATGTGGTTTAAATATGAAGGGCAATATAGTTCAGGGGGTTTTGGGGACACCGAATAGTTTAAGAAGGAAACTGACAAAAACGTGATAGTTTAAGAAAATTTTAGGGTATTTACTCTAGAATTTAGTGTGAACGGTCTCAACCTATTGTCACTTCTTAGTTGTATGTAAGTTGGAGTCTATTATCCTTTAAAAAAAGTTATTGACATATATTAAGTAGTGAAATATTTTGATATTGTATGGTGACATTACTTGTGTGGTAAAATTATTTATCGATCATAAGAGCTTGGGGTACTTGATGATACAGAAGGAGTTGAACCTTCACCGTGATGGCACACTTTGTTCTGAGAACGAGTATGTGTTCCTCGAGACACTAACATGTGCTATGATATCTTGGAGGCTCCTGTTTTACTACTAGAACAGTCAATATTTTCTTATCAATATTAAGTATCATAATAGTATAACTACTTTAGTACTACTAAACAAGGAGGTATCCTTTGGCATTAATTGTCTCCAATCACTAGTTGTTATAGAGGTGAGGTGCATGCACTAGTCCGTGGTAGCTTGGAGTTTTCTTTTGGTTATTCAGTTGTATTGGTTGTTTTCGACTAGATTGATCAGACTTTATCCATGTTGTTTATATGCTTTAGACTTTTACCATGTCTTTTCGGTTTGCACTTTATAAGGGATTATCGTGTTTTGGTTTGTCTGACATACGGCTTATGCAAATTGGATCGTGACATTTTATATTCTTACCCTTTGCAACCCAAAACACATAAAATAAAATGGAGAGAGTAATACTATTCATTACAGCAAAGAAAAGAACACACAAAATAATAGTATCTTGTAAGCTTAATAGACTCTATATCTATAGTTGGTATTTCATATCCATATAGCATTAGCTTTGATGAGCAAATCCTTTAACTTTCCCCTAATATTGAGACTAATGACTTCATTAGATCCACCAACAAGTTCCGTTCCAATGAATGTAGTTGGTGTACTTGGCTTGCATGCCATTTCAAGCAAAGCTCTCTCTACTTTTTTACCATTCGGAAGTTCATCAATCTTGTACACTGTTGGATTTGCACCAAAACCTCTGATTAGGATTTCAATACTGTAAGAAATGCAACAAGTGTCTTTGCTGAATATCACAACCGGGCTTTCGGACGCCAATGTCATCAGTGTATCCATTGTTGCAAATCCTAATTAATCGAACAGTGAGTTTTTGATACTGAGTGGTTGTGAAGAAAATAGAAGCAAGAATTATATATGGTTCATGAAATAAAGCTTTTGGAAAGAGTAGCTACAAGTTTGAATTTCAAGAAGCTTGACTTTATGTAGTTATATAGTTATAAATTTACCAAACAGTGGAAAAGATTGAGTATCCACTCCAAATTATTCTTGATTTTTGGATAATTATAAAGATGTGATTTGTTTGTCTAACTGGAACCACGAGCTGCTGGAAAATTTCCCAATGTTCAAAGTACTTAGAGAGGATTTCTTTACCTTTAAAATATTCCAGAAAACGATTAAAAGCACATAGGATTATATGCAAAAATCTAGTCTCAATCTTGAGATGAAAGGAACGGCCAGTGGTCAGAATAAGTTGTAAAATTTGTTAAATTTGATTGACTAAATTTAGTATTAAACTAACCCATGCATGTGGTTTAAACGTACAAAATATGATTTTATATATAAGGGACAAAAATTATGTATATAGTAACCGAAGTGAAGCATTAAAGTACTAAGTTAATCAACAAAATAATGCCTAATTCTTAAATGAATACGCAAAGGCGATTAGTGGTGGAATACTGAGGTCCAAGGGAAATTGGAAGCCAAGAAAGCAGCATATCTGAAGTTTCTGGAGTGTGTGGACGAGGAGGAGAAGATGACGAATAGAGAGCGGTATAAGATGGCTAAGAAGGATGCAAAATTAGCAGTTATAGCGGCCAAGACTGTCGTGTTTGAACGCTTGTATGAAGAACTTGGAGGCAAAGGAGGGGATAAGAAGTTGTACAGGCTAGCCAAAGGTGCGAGAAAGGAAAGCTCGCGACCTGGACCAAGTGAAGTGTATCAAGGACGGGGAAGGAGAGAGTTTTGTTGGATGAGGAACTTATTTGACGAAGATGGCAGACTTACTTTCATAAATTCTTGAACAAAGAGGGGGACAGGAACATTGAGCTAGGTTACTTAGAGCACTCCGAGATTCGTCGGGACTTTGGGTATTGTAGGCGTATAAGAGTCGAGGAGGTTGAGGAGGCTATGTGTAAGATGAGCAGGTTGAGAGAGACCGGTCCATACGAGATCCCGATGGAATTTTTGAAGAGCGTGCATGGCTGGCTCGGAGTGTCTCACTGGCTTATTTAATATCATTTTTAGGAAGAAGAAGATGCCCGAAAAATGGAGATGGAGTACAATGATCTCGTTGTATAAGAACAAGGGTGATATTCAAAGTTGCAACAACCACCGGGGCATCAAGTCATTAAGCCATACTATGAATGTTTGGGAGAAGGTGGTGTAGCTGAGGTTGCGGATTGTGACAATTTATTTAACTTGTTCGAATTTATGCCGGGACGATGGAAGCTATTCATCTTGTTAAGAGATTGATGGAGCAGTATATGGAGGAAGAAGGATTTACATATGATGTTCATCAACTTAGAGAAGGCTTACGATAAAGTACTAAAGGAGGTTCTGTGGAGATATTTGCATGCTAGAGTGCACCTATTGTATACATTAGGGCTATTACGGACATGTACGGTGGATCTAAAACTCGAGTGAGGACAGTGAGAGGGGACTCGGAACACTTTCCAGTTATGATGGGGTTGCACCAGGGGTCAGCCCTCAGCCCATTTCTATTTGCCTTGGCAATCGACACACTGACACACCACATTCATGGGGAGGTGCTGTGGTGCATGTTATTTGCAGATGATATTGTACTGATTGACGAGACGCGAGGCGGTGTTAACGAGAGGTTAGAGGTTTGGAGGCAAACCCTGAAGTCTAATGGTTTAAAGTTGAGCAGGACCAAGATATAATACTTGGAGTGCAAATTTAGTGGTGCGACTCAGGTAGTTGACGAAGATGTAAGGCTTGATTCTCAAGACATCCCTAGGAGAGAAAATTTAAATACCTAAGGTCACTGGTGTTTTGTGTGATAAGAATGTGCCACAAAAACTTAAAGGTAAGTTCTGTAGAGCGGTGGTCAGATCGACTATATTGTGTGGGGCAGATGTTGGCCGGTCAAGAACTCCCATGTCCAAAAGATGAAGGTGGCTGAAATAAGGATGTTGAGATGGACTAGATAGAATTAGAAATGAAGTTATTCAAGACTGTCTGGGTCAAAATCTGCCTCGAGGAGATTTAAAATGAAGAGATATTACGAAAAATAATTTGGCAGAGGTCGACTAGTGAATAATTTCAATAGTCGGACAGCTAATGATGGCCGAGGCCAAATGTCATAAGCAACTGTAACAGCTAGTTTTGTAATGAGATCTTTTGGGTGAATATTCCATTGAATATTCTCTGTACTTGTACTTTTATGGTTGATTAGGGGTATGTCCCATATAAATAGATAGAGAGATAAGGTGGAAGGTATGTAATATTCTCTGGTAAGAACACTCTTTGAAAAGCAAACTCTCTCTAGATAAAATACAAACATTACCTTTCTTAAGAGATTCGATTGTCTATTATTCCACACTTTTCCACTAGATCTGAGAAGAGTCCCAATATTTTAGTATTTATCTATCATTCATCCTTGTCATAAGAAGGAATCATATTGGGTGAATTCTTCTCCTTATTTACTTTAATGCCATTTAATGCTATTTTATTGCTTGATATTTCCTCATCATTAATCATCTTGGGACGTTGAATGCACACCATATTTAATTTCCTCTCAATGATGTCCTTTTGTTATTTATGACCACCGATTATAGATCTGAGGTTATTATCATTAACTGAGTTTAACCGCTCATTACACAAAATTAATTAGTTTAACCAAGGGTTTACAGTTTTTTGTCAAACAACTTGGCGCCGTCTGCGGGGATTTTCTAGCTAAATTTTTAGTTTCTTTTAGATCTATAACTAGCACGGTTCAGGAAAAAAAAAAACCAAAACTCCTACTTCCTTGTACACACAGATCTGACATGGCAGGTAACAGAAAAGAAAGAATGAAGGCAGTAGCCAATCTCGCCACCAACCTCTGAAACACCATCAATGAGGTTTTTGAAACGGAAGGCGAAAATATAATACCTAACGTCACTCCCAGGCGAGGTGGGTCTCCCATTCCACACGGCAGTATCACGCCGTCCCGCGATAAAGGAGTTTCCACGTCCACGACGGAAGAGGCACCACCAGCAGTGAAAAAATTACTTGAGGCATGGATGATAAACACGCTGACCTGCATCCTCGACAAGCTCACCCATGAGGGGGCTAGAGAAAACACAAGGACGTGCATTACTCCAGTAATAGCCGAGCAGCACGGCCCTCCCCCTCCAGTAACAGGTATCACTCGCAATGTTAATAATGCAGGTGACGACACCTTCACAGTCGTTGTGAGGAAGATGGAAGAAATGGAAAATGAAAATAAAATGCCTCGGGATCAAATGAGAGAGCACCAAGAAAGATTTGACAAAATACCATGTTCCCCAAAACTCTTGCTGAAAAGAGATGCTGATCGGTTCTTTGAATAACCCTACAGCGATGAAGCTGCCCCGCATGCCATACCAAATACTTTCAACATGTCGCCTTATCTGAAGATATACGACTGATCCCGAGGACCATGTGACTCACTATGTTACGGTGGTAAAAGGCAATGATCTCGCCAAAGAACAAGTATCCTCCATCTTGTTGAAAAAATTCGGTGAGACCCTCACCGAAGTAGCATTGACTTGGTACACACAACTGCATGCATGCTCCATCAAAACGTTCGAAGAGATGGACGACAAGTTTGTGAAGGTCCATGCTGGGCCAAAAAGGCGGAGGCAAGAGTGAACGATATATTTGCCATCAAACAATTGCTTGGAGAAGGATTAAGGGACTTCCTCACTCGTTTCAACCGAGTATGGATGACCTTGCCAAATGTATCAGAGGGCATGTCTTTAGCAGCTTTCCAAAATAGGTTGAATAGGAACGGTTCGAGGGCGACCAGAAAATTGTTAAGTCGGCATATGAAGTATCCTCCAACCACTTTGGATGAAATACACAATGCCTACAGTGCCGAGGTCCGTGCTGACGAAGACGACCTGAATGGGACGACCCATCGGTTGACCTCGCTGCAGGCCAAGTCTAGGAAGGATCGAAGAAACAATGCCAGGAGGGATCTAGCAGTTCCACGACCCAATCGAGAAAGGCATCAACCGTATATCAGAAGCGCCATCATGCCCCCTTCCCGCCACGAAGAAGGCCCATCTAGGCCAATGACAGGGACTCAACGGAATGAGAGAGGTATGCCCCCTTTATTATCCACTCACAATTTTTGTGTGTCGCCTTCAGAAATAGTCTACGCAATGGAGAAACTCGGACCGAAGGTGAAGTGGCCGCAAAAGATGAGGTCAGACCCAAGCACCAGAAAGTCAAATGCCCTCTGCGAGTTCCAGCAAGAGTGAGGTCACAAAACTGAGGACTCCATCGCTCTAAGGCAGGAAGTCGTAAACATGCTTCACCAAGGGCACTTGAAAGAATTGTTGAGCAACCGAGGCAGGACCAACTTCACCCGAGGAAGTGAACAACACCAGGGACTGCCGAAACCACCTTCCCCAACCCGCACCATTCAAATGATCATCGAAGCCAGCGATGACACATCGATTAACAGCGTAAAATTTATCGAAACCCACAAACTCAAGTGGTCGATCACTCATGAACAGTATGACAAACTCGAAGAAAGTATCGTCTTTGATAAGTCAGATACTCACGGTTTGGTTTTCCCTCACTATGACACCCTTGTTATCACATTACGATTATTAGATACACATGTAAGACATATTATGGTGGACGAGGAGACCGGTGTTGCCTTATCCACCCTCGAGTACTTGCACAGATGAAACTCAAGGATAAGATAGTGACATGCTGCATCACGCTAACAAGTATTAACAATGCAGTTGAACGAATATCTGGAGAAATCACACTCCCCGTCTTGGCCAGTGGCATCACCTTGGAAACCACATTCCACATCATGGATCAGGATACAACGTACA